TTGATAAAAAATCACGGGTTAGGCTCTTGGGACGCGGGCGGAGGGCACAATCGACTTTCTACCGAATGTTCCAAGGGTGGAGTTGGAATGAAGCACCAACTGATTTACTGTTATAATTATATATATGGTAGGGACGACATAGAGAGAGGAGTTGAACATGAAAGGAATAAAGAGCAAATGTTTGTCGGATTGTTGTTCGATCAGCTCCTCTGTCACATCATTTATAAATGAAGTAAACTGTAGCCCTGATGGAAATGTATATGTAGGAATGTGCATGTTTGTTACTGCCCAAAACAGAACATTTCTTTAAGAATTTCATGATGGCTGCAGTGTCATCGCTATAAAACCGAAACACAGGTCTACGCCGCACCGTGCTGTCGACCGACATTTTAATCTCTCTTTGTGTCAGCATCTTTGTTTGAATACATGATCTGATTAGAAATGGCAGGACAGCAACCACTCTAAACCACCACACCCCAGACTTGTGTTGATTAACCCCTGTCACCACCACAGCACAGTATCGCAGAAACCCAGCCAATATATGTGATCCTCCATTACCAGGTAGTCGCTCCGAATATGATCAGTCCAGCTTCATTCAGGAGCAGTCTTAGACGAATGCCACATCTGCCGCTGTCACTTTGTAAAACTAAAGGCTCTAATACACGCCTTTTATAGTTTTGTTTTTAGCAGTCCGCTAACTTAATTCTCTGCCAGCAGCAATCTCATTTATTTCCTCCTCGTTTCTCTTTTTACACACAGAAACATTGTGAAAGTGTTCAAATATTTGACCGTTATGAAAATAAAAAAACGAGTCATTTAAAAAAGCAAGTTCCAGAGTTAATACCCATTAATTTACATATCTAATAAATCCCCTGCAACAAAAGCCAAATGTAGTTGTTTTTTTTATTATTATCACAATCACAGAACAATTATTTGTTTTCTAAACAAATAAATTTTTTATACAAACTGGAATGGTTAAAAATGTCACATGCATCATGTTTATGATTAAAAAAATGTATTTAAATTGTCAGTGAATGACAGTAGACACACTGCCTCTGTGCATTAAGTTGCTGACAGTGTTAAAATTATAGTGTTACCATATGTTAAATAAAAATCAATGAGCACACTTTTAAAATGTTATAATCAGTTCCACAGAAATGTTGTTGTTTTCTTGATTTGATAGTTTGTGTTTAAATTTGCCATTGTCGTGAAGTCTCCCTATACCTGTCTCACAGGTATAGGGAGACTAGCACATACATTTTAATTCAGCAAGACAGGCTGACAAAAAGACAAGATTGAACACTGAATAGAAAATGAAAATATTGGACTGGTCTCTTATGAACACGACTATAGAAGTGCAATTACAATAAATTAGGCCTGCTAAAAAAATTGTTCTTTTCCTTTATGCTATTCAAAGGTGTGACTTCATTCACAATTACAGCTTGACCTGGTTTTTAAACTTTCAATTTTTCCCAAGGCAGCATGCTTTTCTGAAAACCTAATTTCTGCTAAATTACCCATATTAGGAATGCAGTTCAAAACAATTGATTTTCTCTCTAATACCCTCCTCTCCATCTCTCTCCCAGTCTCCAGTCTCCCTCTCTCCCTAATTATGTTTTTTTTCTACCCGTCTCCCCATTTGGTTTCATAGTGAACAATGCCGATGCCAACTAATCAGTCTGTGCCTATGCCACAGAGCCCCCAGCAACAGCTGAAGGAGTGCCATGCCCCATGAATACCAAACAGCCAGGCACAGTGCGACAAGTGCTGAGCAGTCAGACGCAGCACAGCCAGAGCGGAGCTGGTGCCCACAAAACAGCCAGACAGTTTTATTAGGGTCTGTCTGACACGCAGCAAAGTCTGGCAGCACCCGAGCCCACTGATGAAATCCTCACCGCTCCCCTAACAGTAACAAAGCAGCATGCTCAGAGCAATCCGCCAAGGATCCAATAAATATCACCCCGTAAAAATCAGCTCCCGGCTAGTTTGTAACTCCACAGCATGGGGAATACAAACTTTGTTCAAAGTCAAACTAGTTCTCAGTGAGTAACTGCTAAGTAGATCTCCTTTGTGTCATCTAAACATTACACTGCATCCGACACAACAGGGGAAAGGGAAATCTCCTTCAGGGGACAGTCTGCTAAAGCCTTTTCTGTAAAAACTTAAAAAAATAATTAATTAATTCACTTTTGTGTGTTTGACCTTTTTGAGGCATGAAACATGTTGATGCTGAGGTGAACTTTTATGTTTGATTTCATACTAAGTTGATCTTTTCCTGTTTTCAGAGGGAATACAGAATGAGAAACCTGCTTTATCTTATTGAGGCCAGGCAGTTATGAATTACTGAAGTGAATGAAATGTGAATATAATTGACATAATAATGGTTTTGTTTAAAGAGGCAGTGTTTGTAATTTTGCTTGTTTTAGAAAAAATCAAATTTTATGAAATCTATTTAATTTTGATATAAGATACAGTCATAGAAAATGTGGAAGTGGTTGTCAAGGTCAAATTACTTCACAGCCCAGCATAATATTAGCTTGTTTTGTTCTTCCTAAAAGCACTCATGAACTGTGTTTACACAGAGCCAATCAAACTATTTTACTAAAATTACAAATCAGTGACAATATAGACAGACGAAATTACTGAAAATGAGATGTTAGAATCTGCTTTGGTGAAACTGATCAAGAAGCACAAATTCAGCTTCTGCTTCATTTTGTTACTAATGCAGCGGCTCATCAAAATAAATAATATAATATGGTGTAATATTCTCTCATCCTGACTTGTCCTTAATTAACAGCATTCACGGTGTGGTTTCTATACCCAGCTAGTCTTGAAGTTCCTGCAGGAAAGATTGATTCAGACCTTGAATAGGTGTAGATAAACCAAAGGCTCCAGCTGATGGACCCGAGTGTGTGCAAGAGATTACACTCCATTGTTCAGAGGTGGTCATGTAACACACTGCGCCGCCACATCGCTCGCCGATAAAAGTAATAAGGACAGATTAACATTTATCCCACGCGTTTGGATTTGGGCTCGAGCTGACATGGAAATCAGATGGATTTTGTGAATTAGAGGGCTTGTTTTTTTATTCCTTTTTTTGTATTGATT